GGGCAGGTAATCAGAGTTAGGTGAGAAGATCAGCCATGATCTTATTGAATGGCGGAGCAGGCACGAAGGGCCGAATGGCCTACTCCTGCTCCTAATTCTTATGTTCATTGTCGTGCTGTGAATAGCTCATGACTGGGAGTTTTGCCAGGCTGCAGTGCACTCCTGGTAGTCACCAGGCTTGGATGATATCCTAAATTGAGAGATCAAAGCTGGAATGGTTTACAATTGTTGTTCCTGGGGTTCAGGTGTGCGGAAGGTTTTAGTTTTTTTTGTGTTGCTCAGCTTTCCTTTTCAAGTTGCTGCAGCTGCAGTTTGTATTTTCCATTACTGATCCCATTGCTTTCCCCTAATTGCTGCTATTAAAACCTGAGTTTTAATAATAATTATCCTTGCATTTGATCTAACACCTTTCACATCAGGTGGACATGTCAAAGCTCTTCACAAGATTTACTGTAAAGTGTAGTAACTGGATTTTGTATGTGAAACGCGGCAACCAATTTGCACATAGAGTTGTCTTACAAACAGACATAACCCGATAAGGAATGATTGCCTGATTCTTTTACTAGACTATAATATTGCTGTTTGTATGCTATACCTAACCTCTTGTTCCACTTATAACCTCATTCAAGGTTCCACAGATAGCCCAGTGGTGCCTTTGCACCACCAAAATGAGTTCCGTTATAACATTTGTGTGATGTTTTGGCTCTTCTAGCGCATTAAATAAACCAAGATTTTTAAAACTTTTTCATAAGGAATTCTCTCCTAATCCATATTTCAAAGTTTATTCTTCTAGAATACCCACCCTAACATCCTCCCATTACAGTATCAGACCGTTTCATAAATGACTCCAGCATCCTGAACTCAAGCAGCCTTCTTGATAGCCCCTTTCCAGTCATTAATTACCATTTTGAGAAAGAAATGCTTCCTGGTGCCTCTTCTAAAATCGCTGCTTGCAACTTCGATCTATTCTGAGTACTTTTCCAATTGCATTTGATATCCTAGATGCTTTTATAAGGTCTGATCTGAGGCAGGGTCCTTTCTTTTCAAGGATGAAGAGAGCTTGCTTGTTTGTTCATTATTCATAGTCCATTCCTCTGCTTCCAGAGCCTGGACTAGTCCCCTTATAAGCACAGTGACCAAATTTGTATAAACTATATAGGTGCAGCCTCCCTAGAACACTAAACTTTGAGCATGACTTCTTGAGATCTGAACTCAACAGATTTTGCAATCTATCCCAATTTAGGTAATGCAAATTTCTCTTAGTTTGAACATTGCAATCAATGCCTTTAGGATAATTCCCCCATTCATCTGATCAGTACAAAGCATTGGAAAGTGTCAGGGGCTTTGTCCAGGGAGGACTACCTGGCATGTTCTTGCAGGGGTTGAGAGTACGTATGCTTTTCACAAATGAATGTCACAAATGATTCATGCAAATTGATGGAATCATGAAGAATGCCTTGGATTTATATGGATTTGTGAGACATGTTTCCTCTGGCACTTTAAATAGAGGACATTTCGCACTTTTCTTCCCTTTCCTGGAGAATGATGTGTTTGGTCCAGCATTTTATTGAGCTTGAAAAGATGAAGAGTTCAGTGTCACCAGGAATTTGAACCCACAACCTTTGGCTAAAAATTAATCCCTAATATAATAATAATCCTTGCATTTGATATAGCGCTTTTCACGTCGGGAGGACGTCCCAAAGCGCTTCACAGAACACACTGTAAAGTGAATTGACTGTATATTTGTGGGCGAATGCGGCAGCCAATTGCGCACAGCAATGTCCCACAAACAGCCGTAGATTGAAAATGACCAATTTATTATTGTTTTTTGTTTTTTGGAGGGATTATTATTAGGCGTGTGGAGTAAGGAAACTTGCCCAAGGTTTCGCCCTCTGCCTGGAATTGAACTCAGGTCTCTCGCTTGCAAAGCGAGTGCTCTAACCACTGAGCTACAGGACTCCACAAATATTGGTATTACTGTTCTCTGTTTAAACAAATCTATTTTAAATAACACAAATGAATATTTCTCCCCCGGCCCCACCCGGAACGTGCATTGAAATGAATCCTAATCCTCTGTACAATGCTAGTTTATAAAAGGATATAATGTAAGACTACCTCTAAATGTCATTTCTATTTAATTTAATAAGAAGCAACTTATCAATTTTGGAAGAATTGGTAGCTTCATGACAACAAGGTATACTGAAAGCTGGAATTGACTACTACTTTGCTTCTTCTCCTCTCCTTCCCTCCCCCATACCAAGTTACCAAGTGCTAGAGTCAAAATGAGACTTAAATGATAGTGGGACACTTAATGTTAAAGTAAAAGCTTGTATATTAGAATTTCTCTTGGTTATCAATCACTTCTTAACAGCTGAAGTTGAGAATTTCCAATGAAAGAGATAAAATTGGGAACAAGAACTTTATAGAGTGCCTTACAACGTCCAAACATCTTGTGGAACTTGAGATGTTAAGTGTCGTTGCTGTTTTTATCAACAAATAGAGCAACTATTTTCACCCAGAAAAATCCCACAAATAGATATGAGATGAAGGATGGTTACTCTGGAGGTTTGTCAGCCAGAGCACAGGGAGAAATTATTTTATTTAATCGTGTCTTTTGATATTCCCCTCTCCCTCCCCCCCCCCCCCCTCCCAGCTTAGCTTCTCATTGGAAGGGATGGAACACCCAACACTGGCCCAAAGTTCTGACCCAGAGGCCACAGCCAAGTTGAAGCCAAACTAGAATGCAAGTCATGTACCACATTGTAAAAGCTGCTTATCTGATGAAGTGGATAGAGGCTCAGCTACCTCTCCAGCTATTGTGTTTGGAGGTGACTTACAGATGTACAGAGGGCAAAACAAATTCCTAAAATGTTTGTAGAAACTTCAAATTTCATTTTACAAATTCCAAGTTTGGACTCAATGCTGCAGTTGTCCTCTTTCTCTCTGGTGCATTTCATGTTTCTTTGCTTAATGAGGAATTGGGTCTGGATCAGATTTTGGATTCTTTCCGTATCATTGAGGTGACACAGAAATGTCTGATGGCTGGCAGGAAATCATCTAGTGTGTGAGAGAGACAGGAATCCAGTATCGGAGATTACCAAAATATTAAAGCTTCATTCAGTTCAAAAACATTGACATGATGAATGGATTAAAAGCAATGTATGTATAGAAAGATCACAACTATAATGAATTAACAAAGACTGTTATTTGTTTAAACTTTTCAGTAATATCAATAATGATATGATTCTGTTGAAAATGTCTTTTAAATCATTTCCATGTGATTGTGGAATGATCCTGCAAAGAAGCTGTGCACTTAGGCTCTTAAAGAATATCTTGTTTCCGCAGGAAAATGTTCTGTCGGTTTTGTACAGCATGTCAATCTTGGATCCAAATAGTCTGATTTGGCAGAACTCCCTCCTTTACTGATTGAGATTTTTTTCCACAATCAATTTTACAGATATTCTGTTTGTGTAAATTAATGAAATAGTTACTTGATTCCCTTTGGATATTGTTTAGTTTTGCTGTAAGATGTTGTAATTTGCACTGAATGGGTCAGTTGCTTGGAACCCCTTCCAAGTTGAATGAGTTCTCACACTGCTGATACTTGGAAATCAGCTCTCAACTCCACTTTCAAACTCAAGTTTAAGATGAATGCTACTTGTTTTCATAGAATCATAGAATCTTACAGCACAAAAAGAGGCCACTCGGCCTATCGAGTTTGTGCCAGCTCTTTGAATAGAGCAGTGTAATGTTTTTGCTGGTTTTGCTGGTGAAATATTGCAAGACATATTTATATGAAGGAAACTTCACCCATCTCAATACAGATAAATGCAAGGTACTACATATAAGAAGTATGAATAGGAAACACATACTCCATCGATGGCTTAGAACCTAGGCATCTTGTAGCGTATTGGTTAGAGCACTCTCCTCGCAAGCGAGAGGAATCCCGGATAGGGCGAAACGTTAGGCAAGTTTCTTTACTCTACACGTTTCTGTTTACCTAGCAATAAGTAGGAACCTGGTTGTTAGTCAATTGGCAGATTGCTTTCTGTTCAATAATCCCTTTAAAAATAAATATATACATAAATAAAAAGGAAAAATAATTTGTTCACTCAATCCACAACAGTTTGTGAGACACTGCTGTGCACAATTGGCTGCCGTGTTTCATCCACAAAATATACAGTCAACTCACTTTGCAGTATATTCTGTGAAGTGCTTTGAGACACCTCGAAGACCTGATAAGGTGCTACATCAAATGCAAGTATTATTATTAAAATAGTGTAAATTTTCTTGATTGAATCTTTCTTGATTTATGCCAGTGTTCAGATGGCTGCTCTTAACAGTCCCACGGGCCACTTCTGGTCCACAGGTTGTCCACCACTTCCTTAGAACTTACCAAAGCGGAAGCTGAAAGAGATCTTGGGGTGTTAGTTGACTCATCGTCAATAATGTGAGACGACAATAAACAATGCAAAAAGGATGCTAAGCTATCTTGATAAATCAATTGTGTTCAGAGCCCCAGAAATTAGACTCAAACTTATGCTAACATAAGGGAGCTAACAAATCTGTACAGAGGTAAGAGTAATACTAACTGATCTTAACCAGTACAGAAAGATCATTGAAATTGGAATTTGGATCTAGAAATTAGAAATTGGAGGGGGAGTATTAAACGATAGCTTACGCTAAATTCTAGCTCTTTGATTATATTATATGTATACTATATATTTGTTGTATCTATTAAGTATAGATTATGTAACAAATTGGTCATTCGTGTCACGGCTGTTTGTGGGATAATGCTATATGCAAATTGGCAGCCGCGTTCACGTACAAAATATATATAATAAATACACTGAAGCGCTTTGAAATGTCCTCCCAATGTGAAAGACACAATAATCAAATACAAGGATTATTATCAATAATTATTCTCTAGGGTAAATTAACCTCTGTTGTAGATTTCAGGTACTGCAAACTGATGTTTATTTTTCTCTCTTCCTCCCCAGTGCACTTGCAGGCTACAATGGCACCATTTTTGCTTATGGACAGACAGGCAGTGGGAAGACATTTACTGTTACTGGAGGAGCAGAGCGATATAGTGACCGAGGAATCATTCCCAGGATTCTCTCTTATATGTTTGAACAGTTTCAGAAGGTACCGTATCCCATCTGTTAGTTTGTACTGACTGTTGCTGCTAATACTGAAGCAGTTGGGGGCTTGGTTCTGTTTCTAATGGAAATGCAGTGTTGACGAAATATTGAAATGGGTCCAAGTAATAAAGTGGCTACATGAGGAAATCTATTACAACAGTCTCGTAAATGAGCTTGTAAACCAAATGGTAAGAAAAAGGCAGCAAAATGACTGCAGAAATTCAGATCAAACATCATGTGGTTTTATTTAATTTTAGTTTGGATTTTTATTTTTAGATTTTTTGTTCGCTTGTTTATTTTTAAAAAAGTTATGCAGCAAAGCATCAAACCACTCTCCTCGTTGATCCAGGCCCCAGCTCAAGGCAACTCTCCAAAGGTCTAAACCACATCTATGAAGATGTGAACGTCAATGAGGCTCGCTCAGTGGCGGGGGCGTCCCCGCCTGGAAAAATAAAATGATGCCAGTCTGACTAATGGTGCGTTTGTGCTTATGTGCGCTTTTAACTTCATATTCACATACATAGCTGTGTAGGTGTTTGAGCTGCAGGGAATGCTGGTTATGTACTTGTGTAGAAGAGGAGGCAGGGTTTCTTTCCTTACCCTCAACGTTCTCCTTACCACTGAAATCATCCCAGTTGAACCTCCTCATAATTCTTGTGAGTGTATTTTTAGTGTCTAAGTCCTTTACTAAATTCATATTTGTTTTGCTGCCATTTTGTTCTCCTCTTCTGAATGCCGGTGACTCTTCCAAGCATGTTGTTCCAGCACTTAAGCGTATCCAAACCAAGCTGAGGGTTACACGTTTGGATGGCATCTTCACATGCAATTTCTTCTGTTTCTGGAATGGAATCTGCACTCTCTCCTTTGGAGGGATGCATCATTCTTATTTAATTCTGGAGATATTAGATGTAAATTGGTGAGAAAAAGGCTTGTTGGGATACTGCTGGGGTTTAAAAAGCTAAAGCGCTGTCTCACAAGTTTCTTGTTGCTTGTCCAGCTAGATTCACCCTACCTGTTTACAGTGTTAACAAGAGCTGAGAGTGAAGAATCCTTGTCCCCAGTTACAGTACACATGATATAAAGCTTGGACATAGCATTCATTGTATTGGAACTGTTAAAACCATATTTAAGACTGGTGCATTTATGTGAGATGCTGGTCAGATTGATTCAGGCCACTCTATTACTCGTCTTAATCTCTAAATATTTGCTCTTGTCACACTGAACACTGAATGGTGTACATGTCCAGAGACTTAAGCAACCTGTATGGTGCTGAACATAAGTGAATGGTTGAATTTTATTAGGTTTGTGCTGAACCTATTCTGAGGTTTTGAGTTATTTTCACCCCACTATTGGGTCTTTGTAAACTCCTTGTGCCTTGTAGTATGGATCATTCTCAATTTGGGGGCTGTTCACATTTCTGCTAGGAGTGCTCAGCAGTTAAATTATACCTTAACCCTTTGGGCCATTGGACCTTAAACCTCAATAATCACCAGGGAAAGAGAACCTGGGTCCTAACTCCACAGCACAAACCATCAACCATCACTCAGCTCTCATGTCATACTTATTTCAGTTTTAACACTTCAGAGAGCAGTCCTATGTTCTGCATGAAAATCCCTGAAATGAAAACCTAGCCCTAGTTTATTTTTTTCTTGCGTGCCCTTTTGATTGAAAGGATTGTTCCTGTTCTGAGGTTTGAAAAATTGATGCAAGAATCAGTCAGACTTAAAAGTTGCAATGCAAAACTTGTGGAGAATGACGAGAGTAAATTATTCAATTGTAGCTGGGCTTGGCTGCTATTTATAATTTGTTTGATTTCCCTTGGAGCAGGATAGCAGCAAAATCTACACAACCCACATTTCCTATTTGGAAATTTACAACGAATGTGGTTACGATCTTCTCGATCCACGTCACGAAGCCTCCAAACTGGAAGACTTGCCGTGAGTTCAATTACTTTCAGATGCTCTTCACGGTGAATGTTTTTTTCTTTATCCCCTTGTTTACTAAGAGAAAAGGTTCATTTGAGGTTATGACATTCATAAATTGCAAGAAAAAGCCAAATGGAATGTTTGTTTTAAGATATTTATTGTCTGCAGCACAATTGCATGTTTATGACTTTAAAACCTATTGTTTTGAAGAATCCTGATTATAGTGTGTGTTTCTATGTGGTTAAAAACTAAATCTTCCTCAGGGGTATTGTTGGGAGTGGGGAGGAATCTCCCTGGGAAGAACCGGTTCTGAGGAGATATGCTGCTAAATTCATATTGTTCTTTAGTAATTCATGGTTGACTTAGAAGTGTAGAAATGCCCTTAAACCTGTCAGTCATGGCTTGGGCATTTGTTGCTAGACATGTGTCATTTTTCAGCTAACCATTTTATGTGTTGATTTCATTCTGAGGTCCACTTTTTCTTATATCTCCATTTGAAAGTAAAACTGAATTGCTCTGTTCACCAGAAGAAAGAGCATGTACTAGTCGCTGTAAACAATCTACTTCAAAGTGTGGAGTGGATATGATAATAAAATGGTTTCTCTGCCAATAATGACCTTTCCCAGGCTTGGGTTGTTCCCAATCAACTTGCTTGCCAGACCAAAGTGCCCAGCTACTTTAAACTAAATGGACTTGCTCTGGGGCCTCTTCATGAAATATGCCAACCCACCACCACTTCTCCTCCAAAACCGTGGCTTTTTATCTATTTTTGCATTGCTGTGAAACAATGCTTTTGGTTTCCCTTAATGTCTTTAAGAGGTGTCTCATGGCATCAGTGCAAATGTATGGGTATTTGCTCCTTGCCTTTTCAATGGATGATGATCTTGCTTTTTTCACTTTGTTGAAGAGTTTATTTCTGACTCTTGCGATTCTGTTGAACACCTTTGTCTTTGACGCTCCACTCTTAAACCCTGTCCGTGTTCTAGGCCTTACCATCTCCTCTATCCTCCATCTCAAATGGAATTCTCTCATTACCCCTATGCTAAGATAAGCTTGGTGTCCTCTTTTCGTGACAAGAATTTATTTTCCTACACAATCTCTTAACTCTCTATAAAGCGTAAGTGATTCAAAACCTACACACTATTTTCGACATATCCCCATTTTGGAAGTTTACAGCGGTCCCAGAGCAGCTCCATTTAGTTTAAAGTAGCTTTGAAACAAAAAATAGAGTGAGCTGGGAAAACTCAGCAGGTCAGGCAGCATCTATGGAGAAAGGAAAGTGAGTCAACGTTTTGGGTCCATGACCCTTCGTCAGAACTGGGGCATGTTGGGAGGGAGAGGTTTTTAAGGACAATTTGAGAGGGGGAGGCAGGACAAGGACGATAAAGAAGACAAAAAAGAAGACAAAGGAGAGAATGTAGAGAATATTAGTTGATGGGTTCAAGAGGTGATAGTGTCGTAAAACAAAAGGGGGGTTGTAACACAAAAGGTTGAATCAAAACTGGGGAGAAGAGGTGTTAATAGTGCAAAGAACTATTGTGTTTTGTTAAAGTAGCTTTGGTCTGGTAACAGTCTAGGCTAACACTCCAGTGCAGTGCTGGGGTATGCTGCACATTTGGAGGTACCACCCTTTGTATGAATCACTACGTTGAAGCCCTATCTGCCTGTTCAGGTGCACGTTTAAGATCTCATGAAACTGTTCAAAAAGAAAAGAGTTTCTCCCAGTGTTTTCTGGCCAACAATCCCCCAAATAAAATTGGTCACTTACTTCATGGCTGCTGCGGGACATTGCTGTGTGCAACAGCAGCCTTGTTTGCATCCAAATACAGTCACTACACTGCATAGTAAAATCATACAAAGCAATTCAATTGACAATGTAATAAGGCGCTATACCAAAATAAATTACTATTATATCTAGGGAGTGTTTCCCATTTATTCTATGGTATTTCTAGATAGAAATAATGCATCATTTCATAGGTAATCCGTCTCTCAATATCTGCCTCTATCCACTTTTGTTTCCTGACTCACTCAATTTTACTTAAAAGCCTGTGATGATTGCTCGATGAAACTTTCCACTGTTGTGATGATTTTAAATTGTTACATTGTCAGATGTCTCAAATTGCGTAGGATTTTTAAAATCCGGTCTCACACCGCAGGCCGCCAAAACCCTCATAATGTTTTCATTACATCGAGGCTTGACTATGCAAACTCATTGCTTGTCGGCCTCCCCAACTCCTCCCTCCACAGGCTGCAGATCATCCAGAACTCTCCAGCCCGTGTCCTCTCCCGCACCAGGCTCCACGACCCTATCATCCCCATCCTTGCCCAACTCTACTGACTTCCCATCACACAGAGTTCAAGATCCTGGTCCTCACCTTCAAAGCCCTCCACGGTCTTGCTCCCTCCTAAATCTCCGCCCTCCTAACCCCCTACCATCCTGTTCGCTCCCTCTGCTCAGCGGGCAGACAGCTTCATGTCCCCTGCCATGCCGCCCCACTCTTGGCGGGCAAGCCTTCCGCCACTCTGCATCCACTCTCTGGAACTCCATCCCGAAGTCTCTCCGTCTTGCCCCTCCCTCGCCACCTTCAAGACTCACCTCAAGACCCTCCTCTTTGACCGTGCTTTTGATCTCCCTGCTTCCCCCCCCTGCCCTCCACCCTTCCCCGACCCCAAGCTCGGGTACGTAACTCTGTCTGTCCAGCACCTTGGGACGTCCTCCCGACATGAAAGGCGCTATACAAATGTAGGCTTTAAATATATCATCCCACAAACTCTTCTTCCCCTAGTGAAATTAAAATCAGTTTACCTATACTGTTCAGTCACCGCATTTTACTGAAACTTTGAGATGTTCTTGATGTTATAGACACAGTATCAAATGCAAAGGTTATCAGTATTATATATAGAGGATTCTCATAATAATCCCCCCCTCCCATGGTATAGCAGCATCTAAACGCTGTTGTTCTGTGGACCCGTGCTAACCAAAAGCTGTCAAAACACCTGCTTCAGACGTTTCATTTGCTAAGAAATGGCCAATATCCGGATCGTCAAGGTTGCTGTGTGGCCTCACTTCCTGCACAACATGCACACACTAGTGTCACTTCCTGCTTGGCCACTTCTTTTGTAACATGGCCTCTGAACTAATGGATCCAGAGGACCATGTTATAATGAGGTTCCCCTGAAACGCCTTATAAGTGGTCAATAAGTCACACAAGTACACACGTTCATAAGACCCCCAAAAAGTCAGTTATTTTTTCGCACTTTGTTCATACGACCTCTGTGAGATTGGACTCAGCGAACCACATTATAGTGTTGTTACCATGTATTATTAATGGACTGTTTCGCCCTCGCTTGTTCTGGGGTCTTGGTGCAGTTGCACAAAATTCTTATGGCAGCAACGTTATTCAGGTGGACATAAGCATTGCAACTAAACATGAGGTTTATTTGCAGTTTAAGCTAAAGTTTAATTTGTTCCATATGGCAGATGATTAAATATGAACATTTTATAAGAAATATCTAAATTAAAAATATGAAGTACTGTTCGTAATCAATGTGCAAATACCACTATGTGGGAAGAAATAAATGTTTTCTTAATTAAGAAATTAGTTATGAATGCTAGAATGCTACGATGCCCATTCATGGAAATGTCAATCTAACTTGATCTAATTTTGAAGTGGCATTCCCTCACATTACGGAGTCCTGTAGCTCAGTGGTTAGAGCACTCGCTTTGCAAGTGAGAGACCTGAGTTCAATTCCAGTCAGGGCGAAACCTTGGGCAAGTTTCCTTACTCCTAATAATAATAATCCCTCCAAAACCAAAAACAATAATAAATTGGTCATTTTCAATCTACGACTGTTTGTGGGACATTGCTGTGCGCAATTGGCTGCCGCGTTCGCCCACAAATATACAGTCAATTCACTTTACAGTGTGTTCTGTGAAGCGCTTTGGGACGTCCTTCCGACGTGAAAAGCGCTATATCAAATGCAAGGATTATTATTATTATTACTATTGCATAATCCAGTCCCCACCTTCATTGCTTATTTAAGAAATCCCATTAAGAAATCCTGCAAAATTGACTCCCATTATTTCACTAGATTATTCAGAGAAGCTTGGAAGCGAATGAAGTAAATGTGTGACATATTGAGGAACACTTTACATATTTGTCACTTTGGCAGCTCTTTTACAAAAATAATTAGAAAAATTGGCAGCAGAAAGTTTGGATATACTATAAAAAGTTTTTTTTTCAAACTACAGAATTATTTTCACAAAATTGAAAAAGCCTGTGCAACTAGTGTACCAAATCCTAAAATGCAGGATTTAATACATCAAAGTCTGAAGAGCTTTAGTGTCTTAATATTTTGTAAGAAAACTCCAGCAGCTTTTGGTTAATATACAAAGCTCTCCACTGTTACCTAGTGACTATCACCGTATTGTATTTATCATTTCATCTGCACAGTAAACAGCATTTCTCATTTGCCAAATAGCATCCAATAATAGCTTTGGAGAGAGAGTTTGTCATCAGGCCATAGTGATGTCATGGCGCTTGCTGTAGCTGAACAATGTGTCCACAGCAATCAAAATATCAATCTGTTTTTAATCTTACTGGGGCTTTCATTACAATATATTCTTCCCTATAGTGAATAAATGCATTTTAAGGAAGAAAGGGAAATTCAAAAAAAAATCTAAATAGGAAACATTTTTGTTTGTATGGAATTAGTCACTAGACAGCAGGGACATAATTGTTCAGGTGGCTAAAACTTATTTATCTCTTCAAAGCTCTTATTTCAGGTGGGTGGAAAATTTCTACTTTGAAACTTTTTACTGTGTACAAAATGATTAAGCTCTTTGAGATGTCTCAATGACGTGATGAGGCTCTATATCAAATGCAAGGATTATTATTAATATAATTATTAAAAGTAGCACCAAGATCCAGATAGTGTTGAGTGTTGGGCTGCATTCAAGTTTGAGAGTGAGTTGTATGGAATGTGCATGAATTGACTTGGAGCATCTCTTC